CGTGCAGTACGTTTGAAACGCGCTGCATGGGGCAGGTACCAGTACAATAGAACCACGGAGAGACTTCTTCATTTTTAAGCAGAAGCGTGTTAATTGCTCGCCGTGTCATCCATAATGCTAAGCGCACTTGCTGGCGAGATTATGTCTCCACCATCACCTCTGCTTCCTCTATGAGTGCAGTCTGGAAAAAGTATGAAACTGAGCGGTAATATTCTCCTGACCGGCTCCTGTTCTGCAGGTTGCCAGTGTTGATATAGCAAACCCACTAGATGTTGCCAATGAAATTGGCATCATCTGGTCCGTATTTCTCAGGGGCTCCATCTATGCCCCTCGTTTCTTTTCCCCAAAGTCTGCCAGAGACTTAGCAACCTTGGACTTTTCTTCTCTCAGAGAAGAACAGTATAATGTGCTTTTACACTTCAAGAACTGGAGACAACACTCTCAGCTTGTGATCATCGGCACCTGGGCCGATGACATTCATATTCGTATGCTACAACATTTACATCAGTCAGCCCCTTTCAGTCCTATTATGCCTTTTCAATCTTATTTGGTCACAAGGAGTTCTTCCACAGCTGTGGAAATCTGCCATTGTTCTCCCTTTCCGCAAACAGGTACTATGGGACATGAAGCCTCCCACTATCGTCCCATTGCTCTTACCAGTGCAGTTTGCAAAGTGATGGAACGCCTGGTAAATAGACATTTAGTATGGTATTTAGAGACACACAACAGTCTCTCCATTCATCAATATGGCTTTTGTAAGGGACGTTTACCTAGACCCTTTACTATGCTTGGATACTATGTTCGTAATGCCTTTGCGAATAACCACTCAGTTATTGCCATATTTTTGACCTTGAGAAGGCATATGACACAACTTGGAGGTATAATATTTTGGCCCAAGCCCACTTCTTAGGCCTCCGAGGCAATCTACCATCCTTCCTTAAGAACGTTTTAACTGACAGGCATTTCCGTGTTCGGGTTAATAATGTGCTCTCCCCGGACTTTATCCAAGCTGAAGGTGTCCCCCAGGGATGTGTTCTGAGCACAACACTTTTTCTCCTTGCTATAAATGATTTGGCTCTAGTCTTCCATCAAATATTTGGTCATCACTCTATGTTGATGACTTTGCTATTGCCTGTGCAGGCGCTGACTGTCACCTGATTACAGTTTCTCTCCAGCATGCGGTCGACCGTGTTTCCAATTGGGCCACCACACATGGGTTTAAAATTTTTCCAGCACCAAAACTCACTAAATTACTTTCACTAGAGCTCTGTCATCTCCGATCATCCTTTGTACCTCTATGGCTCCCGCATCCCTGAACGTGATACAGTCAGGTTTCTGAGCCTCCTCTTTGCCCGTAGGTTATCCTGGAAACTCACATTACCTCTCTGAAGGCAACCTGTCACAGCCGGCTGAACCTTTTTTAAAGCCTTGCTCAAATTTCAGGGGAGCTGATCGTCGAACTCTCCTTCGCCTACATTCCACCCTCATTTTATCGAAACTTTATTATGCTGACCAGATCTATTCAGCGGCCTTCCCGCTACTCTCTCTAGCCTTAACCCCATTCATCACCAAGGATTAGTTTATGCCTTGGTGCTTTTCGCTTTTTCCCTGTTGAGAGCCTCTATGCAGAAGCGAACGTTCCATCCTTATCGATCGCCGTGATGCCCCTTGCCTTCGTACTATGTACGCTCTCATGATCTCCCCAATCCTTCCATTTATAGAATGGTCACTGATATTAGTAGACCTTCTTTATTCGTTCGCCGCCCTGTTTACTCCGTCCTTCTCTCTTCGCCTACATTCGCTCTTGTCTTCTCTTCAATTACACCTTTCTATGTTCATGTAGCATCTCACTTTTCCCTACCCCCCTGGGAAGTTCCAGCTGTTCGAGTCTGTTCTTTCTCTCTCCCTTGCTTGAAAGCCCAACTGTCTATGGTAGCTTCGCTCTCTCTTTTTCTTGACCACTTCCATTCTCATTCTCATGCCATTGCTGTGTACACAGATGGCTCTAAGTCTTCTGACGGTGTAGGATTCGCAGCAGTGTTTCCGGACAGCGTCGTACGAGGGCATTTACTATCTTCGGCTAGTATTTTTACTGCTGAATTGTATGCCATCCTTGCAGCACTTATCCGTATTGCATCTATGCCTGTGTCATCATTTATGGTTGTCTCAGACTCCCTTAGTGCTTTACAGGCTATACAGAAATTTGATACACCTCACCCCTTAGTCCTCCGTATCCAGCTTTGGCTATGCCGCATCTTTACCAAGCATAAAGATATTGTTTTTTGTTGGGTCCCTGGTCATGTTGATGTACAGGGCAATGAACAGGCAGACACTGCTGCGCGGTCAGCAGTACATGACCTACCAGTTTCATATAGAGGTATTCCATTTACGGACTATTTTGCTGCATTATCTTCCCACCTTCACACCCGTTGGCAACAACGTTGGTCTACTATGCTCGGTAACAAACTTCAATCTATTAAACCGAGTATAGTTATTGGCCATCTTCTTATCACCAGTGTTGAGGTTGGGAGACTACTCTCTCCCGTCTTTGCATTGGCCATACTCGTCTTATTCATGGATATCTCATGGAGAGGCGCCCTGCTCTTCTCTGTGAGAAGTGCCAGGCTTGCTTATCAGTCAGCCACATTCTGTTGGACTGCCCACTTTATCAACGAGCACGCAGAGTTTACCTCCATCGTCGTCTTCGCTCCGCTGCTCTCTCTTTACCTTCCCTTCTCTGCTGATGGACCCACCTTTCATCCAGACTCTCTCATTGACTTTTTGACAACAACTGACTTGCTTCACAAACTCTGATGATACCTTCAGCCCTTTCTACCTCAATCTCTTTCTACCCTCTACCCCTGCACTATCCCCTGCCCCGCTGTTTTCTGTAACCTACTGATCATCCCTCCTCCCTTCTGCCACCAATACCCTCGCTTCCTTCCTACCCTGCACCGCTGTATAGCCCTTGTGGCTTAGCGCTTCTTTTTGATTATAATAATAATAATATAAATGATTAACACATTATTCAGGGTTTCATGGTGTAAATTCCCTCATGGCTTGTGGATGGCATCCTAAAAATGTAAGAGTGGGCTGTTATCCTTTCCATAATAGTGTATATCTCTCCCTATCTCAGCCAGAGGTTCTCAATGGGGTTTATGTCTAGGAAGTTTCCTGGCCAGCCATCAAAGAAGGGTGCTTCACAGTCATGAACCCACAGTACAAGAGATTTTGTGATGTGGCAAGGAGAACTGTTGCGCATAATAACCTTGCATCACAATGAATGAAAATTCAGGGAAATGATAACAGACCAGTTCTGGTACACTGATGCCAAGAATTGGTCTAAGCTTCCCTGAATGTGCTTTTTGGTTTGGACATGTTATTAATACTGTCCTGAAGGAACTGATGTAACCAGGTCCTCAGTGGACACTCACACACATCACTGACTTCTATTCCTTCATTTTGATGCTCTTTACAATCGCTTCATGTCAGTGACTTACTCCTGCCTGTATTAATTCTGCAATAGACAAAAATGTCCAACATGCTCAGCCGTCAATACCACAAGGTGCAGGGGGACTACAGACAAAATTGCCAACTACACAAGCCCAGAAGGCACTTAGGATGCAGCCAGCAGCCAAGGGAATCATGAGACATTTCGCTTCGAGCTAGCAGGCCAGTATAACTTTCGTCTTATCAAGAAATGTACCAAAGAAAGATATTTCTTTAGATGTTAAATCTACATTGGGTATCTTCCATTCAACATGCTTAACCCTTTCAGGGTCGAGAGGCCCTCTCCTAAACTTGTTCTCAGGGTCGAAAATTTTTTGGAAGAAAAAAAAAATTTCTTATGATAAGAGAATCTTTTCCCAATCATAATGACACCAAAATTATGAAATCTGACGGAAAACTTACGGAATTATGCTTTCGCGAAGTTAGCGGTCTCGACGATGTTTACACATTGGCAATTTCGCCCACTTTGAGCCCTATTTTCGGGCAATTCCAGTGTACTAGTTGACAAAAATCATAACTATTTCACTAGAACTCCACTTTTTCTATCGAATGAGTACAAGAAACCACCCATTTACCGATTTCAACTATCCAATAAAGTGGTCAGAAATTAGCAATTTTGCCAATTTTGCACAAATTTCAAAAGATGCCAGTTTTCAAATAGGGTCCAGAATAAACAAGACAGACATTCCTGGCACTAAAATAGCATTTCCTCTGTTCATCAGTCATGTCCCCATGCCCCTCTTGCATTTCTTTTGTTTTCCACTTTGAATTTTTATTCTCACAAAACATATAAGATTTACTGTTATGCAGACTATTGCATTAGTGTAGAAATGGTATAAATAATATCAGCACACTTGTGAAAGAATATTAGACTCACCAGTTGAATGCGTGGCATGATTTGTTTACTTTTGAACTTTTGCTACTTTGAGCTCAATTTCAAGGTACTTTTCATTGTGAAACCAATCAAAATCATCTCAATTTCTGTAATATGTCTTCCATTCTATAACACGAGACCAGGAAAGCTAGAATACAACCATAAATACCATACGAAAATACAGTGCAAAGTCGCCGTTTTAAACCAAAAACACAGTCAAAGTTTTTTTTTCTCATTACGCACTGTGTGCTGCAGGATTTTTTTTAATACTGTGCACACTGACCAAACAGACCCATTCTTTCATATGTAGGCCTACCAGCTTTCTCTCGCTAGATTTGAAGGCGCTAGAATTTATGCATACTAGTACATCAATAACCCTGGTGCGTAAGACGTACTAGTACGTCGGAAACCCTGGAAGAGTTATATGACAATTACTGTAAATAGACAAACAAAAAGACCGGCCAAGGTATAAAATATTTAACAAGCCTCCATTTTACACTCCATTTTACATTCGTGTGTCTACAAATCTATATTGTACATGCAGTAGTCAGTGAAAAATAATTTGGCAAAAAGTGTAGTGTTTTCAGGATTCTATTTCCACCAGTGAACCACCTACTGTTTCCTCAGCCATGAAAGTAATGGAGTTCTGCACCATTAGGTCTTCAGAGCCATGCCAAAACAGAGAGTTGAGGGCATGAGCAGCCAAGGAGTAGGTCCTGGTAGATGGAGTAGTCTGAGCATGAGTATGGGCATCAAGACAAACACATTCATCGATGGTGGTGCAGACAGAAAAGATGAGTGCTCGTGTTTGAGGCGTCACCTTGACACCCACACCAATGACTGGAGTGTCTCCAACAGTCATATTACTCTTGATCTGGCCAAGGGAAAAATTTAACTTCACTTTATTTCATAAAACTGATACTAAATAATAATGATTATATAACTTAAAATATCTATTTTTGCCCATATTAAAAAAGATACATGATACACTGAATATTTCTATTAAAATTGCTCAACAAATTGAGATGATGCAGAAATTACATTAGAACATTACTCTGAGAATTTAGCTTGGATCATGAAGAATCATGTAGTGTTGCCAAATTTGTTTAATTAATTAATATATTGTCTCATTCAGATTTATACTGTAATTTAAGTAACTTGCTCTAATTTCACTATCTCTATTCAAACATGCCATACAATTGAAGATCATAGAACCTGTTTAATTACTATGTCAATGTTTTGTAATTGACCACTGTATGTAGTGCATTTTTTTTTTTTTGTAAATATGATTGAAAAAATACATCCAAAATTAAAGAGCACATAGAAAGGCCTTCATAGAAGGTACTACTCAATTTTGGATGCACCCCAATCACATTTACAAAAAAAATCCACTATACAGAAGAGCTTGTAATAGAGCTTACAGTACATAAGCTCTCTTTGTTAGTATATTTAGTCAATATAGCTCTAACAGCTTCTTCCTCTGTAAGCCATGCGTGTCGTAAGAAGTGACTAAAATGCGGGGAGCAAGGGGGCAGTAACCCCTTTTCCTGTATATATTACTAAATTTAAAAGGAGAAATTTTCGTTTTCCCTTTTGGGTCACACTGCCTTGGTGGGATACAGCTGGTGTGTTGAAAGAAAGAACTCTAACAGCAGAGTACAAGGTTTTAAGTTGAAGAATTGAGACACTTGTGCAACACATGGGAATCTTTATTGAAGAAACGTTTTGCCACACAGTGGCTTCATCAGTCCAATACAAAGTAGAAATAGGTAAGGAGAGGAGGAGTTTGAGGTAATCAGTCCCTCAACCTGGAATCGATGTGTTCAGTCCATCACTCTTCCTACAAGAGTGATGGACTGAACACATCAATTCCAGGTTGAGGGACTGATTACCTCGAACTCCTACTCTCCTTACCTATTTCTACTTTGTATTGGACTGATGAAGCCACTGTGTGGCGAAACGTTTCTTCAATAAAGATTCCCATGTGTTGCACAAGTGTCTCAATTCTTCAACTTGTCGGTTTTCAAAAACCATTCACCACAGGGTTTTAAGTACCAGACACTAATAACGTAAGTATCCTAGTATCTGGCCCAGAGAGGAGACTCACTTCCCAAGCCCCCACTTCCATCTCTACCCTGTACCCCAACTTTTGCACAGTAGCTACAGTACTACAAATAATAACTGAAACTAAAAAAGGATAGCACAGCTGTACAAATAGTGATACTAAGACTTAAGAGGAGTAGTAGAATAGATATGAAACAATATTCAGAATTTTTAACACTGTTTAGTGAAGACACTTAGGTAATACACTCTTACCTCCATGCCGTTAGTGGGAAGTATTATAGCATGAGAAATAATGAGATCATTGTATGGTTGAGCACTGACAATAACATTGCTTGCACTTGCCCGCCACACTTTCTCTTCTACTGTGTCATATTTGTAGAATGCCAGCCTGAAGGAGAATAAATATAACAATCAATATATAATCTTACACTGCATTAGCTTCATTACTTTTAATCTTAAGAGAGAAATCAATGTCACTGCACTTGTCTGAATAACTGTATCTTGTTACAGTTACTTTACTGTTCCATCAATATTTTAGACTTCTATATTTAAACTCAATTTATTTTTCTGACCGACTAAAATTTATTCACTCATGTACATAAAAATACAATGAGGTAGGAATTATGAGCCTCAACCTGTCAGAAGAGTAAGTACGAGGCATGCAACTGACCATTGTAATACCAAGAGTGAGAGAATCATAAGTAAGTCTTTTATGTTATAGTCATTATCTCCTGGATTCTAATGGACAATATTAAAAAAATCTGGGACCACTTAGTACCTTGTGGGAGGACCAGTTCCAAAGTGTGCCAGCTAGAGCAAACAGCGCAGCAAACACCAAGGATTCACTGATGTTATGTTGTATTAACACTCCCCTTTTAAGAGGAAAGTGATGTTGACCCTAAGTTTAGTGGCTTTGAGGATGTGGCCACAAGTGGTCGAGGAAATATCAGAAACCTCGATAATAACCCATGTGCAACACCCTTTCAATTTTGGTACCACGGGTAGTGTCATCCTGCCAGAATGTCCTATAACCTATGCCCTTAGTAAAAAGAAACAATTCTGGAACATGTAATACGTGTTCGGCAGGTAAGCAGGCTGGCTGGCTGGCTGGCTGGCGGCTGGCTGGCCAGCTGGCTGTCTCTATCTCTGTCTGTCTGTCTGTATCTATCTCTGTCTATCTCTTTCTCTGCATCTCTGTCTCTATCTGTTTCTAACAACCACATAAGTAAATAAGAACATAAGAAAGAAGGAACACTGCAACAGGCCTACTGACCCATGCGGAGCAGGCCCATGTCCCCCCCCCCCCAGATTAGTCCAATGACCCACCCAATCCGGTCACCTCCACTCAAGGAAGGAGCACAGCACCAGACCCAGCAGCACAAGCTAGTCAGGTCCAACTCACACCCACCCACACCCACTCATGTATTTATCTAACCTATTTTTAAAACTACACAACGTTTCAGCCTGAATAACTGTACTCGGGAGTTTGTTCCACTCATCCACAACTCTATTACCAAACCAGTGCTTTCCTATATCCTTCCTGAATCTGAATTTTTCCAACTTGAAACCATTGCTGCGAGTCCTGTCTTGGCTGGAAATTTTTAGCACGCTATTTACATCCCCTTTATTTATTCCTGTTTTCCATTTATACACCTCGATCATATCCCCCCTAATTCTACGCCTTTCAAGAGTGCAGATTCAGGGCCCTCAGTCTATCCTCATAGGGAAGATTTCTGATACATGGGATCATCTTTGTCATCCTCCTCCGTACATTTTCCAGAGCATTTATACCCATTCTGTAATACGGTGACCAGAACTGAGCAGCATAGTCTAAATGAGGCCTAACCAAGGATATATATAGTTGAAGAACAACCTGAGGACTTCTATTATTTATACTTCTAGAGATGAAGCCAAGAATTCTGTTAGCTTTATTGCGAACACTAATGCACTGTTGTCTTGGTTTTAGATTACTGCTAACCAGAACTCCTAAATCCTTTTCGTAATCAATAGTATTAAGATCTACATTATTTAGTTCATATGTGGCATGGTTGTTTACCTGTCCAACATTTAGAACTTTGCATTTGTCAATATTAAACTGCATCTGCCACTTCTCCAACATTAAATCAGTCTATTCAAATCATCCTGGAGTGCTCTAGTGTCCTCATTAGAATGAATTGGACGACCTATTTTGGTGTCATCAGCAAATTTGCTTATGTCGCTATTTATTCCCTCATCTATGTCGTTTATGTAAACTGTGAACAACAACGGGCCCAACACTGACCCCTGAGGAACACCGCTTGTGATGTGCCCCCATTCTGATTTCTCCCCATTTATGCAAACTCTCTGCTGCCCATTTGTCAGCCATGCCTCTACCCAGGAAAAAATTTCTCCTCCTATTCCGTGTGCCTTAAGTTTCCTTAATAGCCTCTGGTGTGGAACTCTATCGAAAGCCTTACTGAAGTCCATATACACAATATCATATTCATTACCATGATCTACCTCCTCAAACACCTTAGTGAAAAAGTTAGTAAATTCGTAAGACAGGAACGCCCCTTTGTAAAACCATGTTGAGAGTCATTAATCAATCTGTGCCTATCAAGATGGCTACGAATTGCTTTGGCAATTATTGATTCCATAAATTTTCCCACTATGGAGGTAAGGCTTATTGGTCTACAGTTTGAAGCCAAGGACCTGTCACCTGCCTTGTAAATAGGAATTACATTTGCCATTTTCCACTTATCAGGCACTATGCCAGTTTGTAGTGATAAGTTAAAAAGATAAGCCAAAGGTATGCTAAGTTCCTCTTTACATTCCTTTAACACCCTTGCAAACAGTTCATCAGGACCTGGGGATTTGTTAGGTTTTAGTTTCTCTATTTGTCTGAGGACCATGTCACTAGTTACTGCAATCATGCATAGTTTATTATCATCCTGTTCTACATAATCTATTATTTCAGGAATATTACTAGTATTTTCCTGGGTGAAACCTGAGAGGAAGGAGGCATTGAGAATTTCACACACATCCTTATCACTGTCAGTGATCTGACCAGAGTTACTCTTAAGTGGGCCAATCTTGTCCCTAATCTTACTTCTGTATACCTGAAAGAACCCTTTTGGGTTAGTCTTTGAATCCCTTGCGACCTTAGCCTCATAATCCTTTATACATAGTGTAAATTACCTTGGATAACCCAAAAAATCCAGACAAAATGCTATACTGTGCTTGTAGATATAATGCATAATAAACGTGACTGGAACTGTCAAGTAATACGCATTTTCACTTGTTCAGGAAGCAGATGTGGTCGTGTGTAATACCAGTTGGTTCATGAGCAACTCTCTGAGACAAGAGAGACATGCAGACAGAAAGACAGACACACGGACAAAAAGAGATGGACAAAGAGCTAGACAGACAGACAGATATACAGAGAGTTAGACAGACAGGTTTATTTGTAACAGTGAAAACAAATAAAGCGAAGGAAGTGTACGCTCATCAAATGTCACCATTAGCTGCACTGTTAGCAGTAGAGTGACACACATCTTACATCATGCTGCAAAGGAACTAATTATTATTATTATTATATACTCCTGCATATCCAGAACATTGCTGGGACCTATAAATACTATATACATGTATATATTTCTAGGCAATAGTATGTGACTAAGGTAGGTAAAAATGTTCACCTGCCACTGTGTTTGTGACTATTTGAGTACTATTTCAGTACCTAATATTAGTATCAGAACAAAGATTAACTATGAAATCACAAGACTACTTCAAATTGTAATTATCAGAACATAAAAATTATACAAATTAAACAAAAATGAGGAAAAAAGGTATATCAGCAACATTTCTGCAAGTGGCAGCACTTCGTATTGCCATCAAGTGAGCAACAAGTGCCAACTTTGCGGCCTTATATCTCCGTAAGTACTGACTCTAGATTTTTTTTTACATTACTTTATGTACAAAAAAGTATCCTCTTCATTTTAAAAAGATTTTTTTTTTTTTCAAAATACACCTACCAGCGTACCAGCGGTCGCAATATACACAACGAGAAGCAATTATTACTACAGAAAAAGTGTCCTTCCTCCAAAATTTCCACCAGTCAACTATAGTGATAATATAGCATTTATTGTGGTGGAGACAAAAAAAAAACTAGAAAAGCTAGATACAGCGATTGATAAACAAGGGTTGAGGCTCGACCGTTCGTCATTGTAGGAGCTGCCAGAAATCACCGGCTCTTCAACATGCAAGTTATACTTTTGTATCAATCAAATCACATATTACTCGGGTAGATAATTTCAAGTAGATCCTTCATGTGTTAGCCCAAATCACCGACTAGTATGTTTTAAATAAGTGACCCACTGATCAGATCAGATCGACTGGTCCGAACCCTCGACTGGTCCGAACCCTTGATGGTCCGAACCCTTGACTGGTTTCAAATGGATTCGTTGGACAATAAAGCAGACTGTAAATGGATGGGGTTGTAAGCCCCTTACAAACACAAAAAATAAATAAAAATCGGGAACACTGGTAAGCGTCCAAAAACAAGTACATTTAGAAATAAAATACAAATAGCAGGTTATTTAAAGGGGGGTTTATTAATAGAGTATCAAGGGGTTTGCTATAAAAAATTACAGTAAATCAACCCACCCAATCTTTAGAAGCTCTTATATCTGCAGTCAATCAAACAAAGGGTTTCCCACATGGATAAAAATTGTAATTTTTTGTGGAAATTGTGCACCCCCCTTGTGCAGATATCCAAAAACTAGCTACAAGCATATTAAAACGGGGAAGTGTTTTTGGTATCCCCAAAATGAGGAAAATCTGTGGACTAAAATATAAGGGTATTAAAAGAATAACATCAAAGGCTTTCATAGCTTTCAAAACAGATGGGAACAAAAAAATCGGGGAAAGGTACGCCTTGTACTGGCCATGTAGTCGAAACGTAAGGCTGGAGGGATGCCCCGGTATAAAATGTGGGGCTGATAGTGCTTCCGGGGGAACAGTAATGGTGAAGCGGGAGGTGCTGCCCCTGGGAACAGTAATGGTAAAGCTGGAGGTGCTTCCTGGGAACAGTAATGGTGAAGCTGGAGGTGCTTTTTCCTGGGAGACAGAAAGGGGGAAAACGGGAGGTCTGTCCGGGGAACAGTAATGGTGAACTGGAGGTGCTGTCCTGGGAGACATAAGGGTTTGAAGCGGGGGTTTTTCCTGGGAGACAGTAATGATGAAGCGGGGATTTTGTCCGGTATCGGGAATTATACCAAAAGGAATACAAAAAAATGACCTCAGGGGGGACTGGAGCCATAGTGGGGAAACAAGGAGTCAAAAAAGTAAAACCAAATTCAAACTAGAAATACACAGGAAACAGCAAAAAGGGACTAATAGCAATAGTGG